TGTAGATCCTTGCACACTGAGTTCACAGAAATTGGTGGTCTTCTTTTTAATATGTGGCTCTAGTATCGCTAGAAAAAGCATCAAACTGAGCCACTGACATTCTGAAGTAAACTTTGAATCACCCGTGTAATCCCGCTGCTCCTTAATAAGGAGGGGGAACTCTCCTTCCTCTCTGTATCTCAGGATTGGATGGATCCAATATTTCCTTTCTTTTTCTTTTTTTAAGAAGCGAGAGGACAACAAAATCATCCTCACTGCTTGAAGAATCCATTTAGTGCTGTTTTGCGAATTTTTTCGCAACGGATTAATTAATATGCATCGGACTCAGTGTGCAAGGTTTCTGTGCGTGACGAATTTTTAGGATTTCGAATACGAAAAAACGTATACGAAAATTTCGGACTCAGTGTGCAGAGACCTTAAGTATTGGGTTTCAACTTAATCAAATATTTAATGTTACAAAAACTTTTTACATTTTGTTGACTTATATCTTACTAAGTGTACGTTTAAACAACAGCAACTATTTTATTTTCCTTGCGTTTTCCGCATACAGACAACAATGTTATCAAAACTATCCCCATTCACACAGATCTGCGAAAACCACTTAAAACGCTGTATTATCGAGTCAGACCAGTAGTTGGCGATGTCACGTAAAGAAACACTAGGCAAACACGTAATACGCATGTGCATGATATCACTGTTTTCACAAATTCACGTTTTTGTAGTTTACACGGGAGAAGATATCGGTATACCGTTTTCAAAAACTTGCACTTTGAAACTTGTTTTCAAAACCCCGGTTTTCAGATCCCCAAATCTGTCGCTGTCGTGTTAATGACAAAAAGAGAACTATAAAAGGTCTTTTTATAGTTGAAAATGGTATCGTGTAAACACCACCATAAGATGCAATTTTGTAGGGGTAACACATCACAGCCCAGTGCTTATTCACGTTAAATTTAATGTCTTATTAAAAAAAAAAAAAAATGCGTTAGACAAGTGTTCAACCGTTGCGCTTGAATCTCACACAGAAGCCCCTGAGGGCTGCGTACGCCAGATAAATCTTGACAAGCATTTAAATGTGTAATTATATAGAATACACTAATGGCGTGTCTCGAGACCTCGCTTTTTTTTCCATTCCACCGCTTTGTGTTCACGTTTTTAAAGGGGTCATATGATGCGATTTCAATTTTTCCTTTCTCTTTGGAGTGTTACAAGCTCTTGGTGCATAAAGAAGATCTGTAAAGTTGCAAAGACTAAAGTCTCAAATCCAAAGAGATATTCTTTATAAAAGTTAAGAGTCAGCCACGCCTACCTAAAACGGCTCGTTCTAACGCGACCCCACATATCTACGTCACTATCTGGGAAGATTTGCATAACGCCGCCCAAATGTACACGTAAAGAAAAGGCGTAACTTTTATTCTCGCTGTAGTATTGTTGCCGCCGCCGCCATGTCGTGAAGATGCTGTGTGCTTCGTACAGTGGAATATAATGTGGAAAATAATGTTTTTTGAACCTTAAACCGCATAAACACATTTCATTACACCAAATACACAAAATAATGTTATTTTTAGCAGCATCATATGACCCCTTTAAATGCAAAAACGCGTTCTCTGTGTTGCGGTAATAATAAGACTCTGCTTAATTGACTCAAACAAGCAAACATCCTATGCGTCAATTGGTGTTGCTAAAATAGGAGATGAGTGAGCAGATATTGCCCCTGACATTAGACTATATTAACAGTAAATATAAAACGACCGCGTAATCAGCAACAGCTTTGATGCATAAAAACATCACCGTAAAGCAGCAGGCAGATAACGTAAATGGAAAGTGGCTCAGCACCCTCATGCACGTCCTCTAATTATTTCACAAGCATGTCATCATCCCGTAACTCTCTTTAGATCCCTCGGCCGTGCCTCAATGCTCTCTGGGACTCGTGAGAGGAGCAGCCCGTTCGCATAATGGCTAAGCGAAAGCCCAAAGCCATAATGGCCGTCACTGACGGAGACTGCATCAGTCTAATGTTACCTTTTGACAGCAATTTGCCGGTATCTGCTTTTTAAAGAGGCTCTGGGGATCCGCAAAGACACCAGGCACCTTCACATTAACGCGCACTCAAGCACGGTGTCTAATCTCTGAGAGCGCGCGCTCCCTTTCAACCATTCAACCGCCATCGTCAGATAAACTAATTAAAATCAAACTCCCTCTTGGGTTTTTGTTTTTTAAGCTCATTCTGTTCTGGAGAAGAAGATTAAGACCTTCTGCTATAGCTGAGGGGTTACCACATCAACACGAACGCAATATTTCACAACACAAAACACAAAAGTGCAAACAGCATTTTTAAAGGATTTAACAGGTAGGCCTAAATTAATGCTCAGTTGGTACATTTATTGACATTCTAATGTATTTACCTTATTTTAAAATAATAAACCCGGTAAAACTAAATCGGCAGGACGTGTGGCCCACTGTGATGCATTGGGTCTTCAATGAATGCAGCCTTCGAAGGATGCAGCCTCTGAATTGGGACACTTGCTCTCATTATAATGGCATGCATTCAATAAAGGTCTTAGATCAGAAATTTCAACTTTCAAACTGATTACAAATACATCTGACTTTTTTTCCCCAACATTATGCCACATGGTGTGGCATAATGTTGGAAAAAAAAAGTCACATAATAGCATAAATTTTGATTTCACATTGACTTCAAGATCTTCAAGGACTCGTGATAAGAAGATGATCTTCTCATCTATATATCATAATATTTATTGTGAGGATATGAAAGGCATAGATGATCATAAAACAATGTTTTGATGTCAGAGAGCCACTGATAACAGTATCCCACTTCATATTGGCTGACAGTTTGATTCATAGTTGAGAATTGCACAAAAAAGGAACAAATATATGCGAATAAACAGAATAAACACAAATGTACTTCGACTGTGGTAACAAACCACACACATACATTAATACATGCATACATTGTCGATATAAAAAAAAAGCCAAAAAAAAAATTCTGAGATGTCAGCCCGCAAGATGTGACTTAATGATAGATGAAGACTTAGTCTTGATTGTTTGTGATAATTGTACCTGTGAATTATTGATGAAACACAAGTTGATGAAGTTCCTCAACCTCCAAAAGAGGTTGTCAACATTGGTATCATTTATGCACAAGGCAGTGATTCATACCAGATGTTGAGTAAAACACAATGGAGACCTGAAATGCGGCTCAGAGGCTAAGCCTTATGGGTATCGACGTTCCTGAGGTGTGCTCGAGTCAGGAGTGCTTGCGGAAAGTGAAAATGTCTCGTGTCTTGGAGCCCCTCTTGCCCTCGTTGGGCTGGTTGGGGCTGGGTAAGGGTGGGCTCTCGGGAGTGGCGGTGCCTCCATAGGGGCAGCTCTGAGAGTCGGGATGCTCTCCGGAACATTCTATGGCCGGGATGTAACGGCTATCCCACATTCCTGGCCCGCACAGTTTACACAGGTCGTGTAAGCTGCAGGGAATTCTGGGAAGAAGGCGGAACTGGTAGAGCAGGCTACGTGCCTAGGATTAGAGACAATAAGGGAGACAAGACAGAGAAAGAAAGATGGACTGAGAATTGAAAAAAATAACAGGCAAAAATGCTGAAAAAAATATTATATTGTAATTCATATTTAGCTTTTTCAATATTTAACAAAAGCATTCTCGTAGCTAAAACAGTAGAGAATAGCAATGGGTCATGGGTTTGATTTTCAGGAAATGCATGAACTCACAAAATATGTATACCTTGATGCAATGCGAGTTGCTTTGTATAAAAGTGTCTGCTAAATGGATGAATGGTAAATGTAAATAAATAAATGGTGTAACATAACTAAATAATAAAAAGGGCAAATTAAATAAAAAAATTGCTAAATAGATAAATAGTGCAAAATAAATAAAACAAAAATAATAAAATTTTTAAAAAGTGCAATAAATTAAATAAAAATAAATCATGTAAATACAATGAATCAAAATAAATTATAAAGTGAAAAATAAATAAATTAATTATAAAACAGTGCAAAATACAGCAATAAATAGATAAAATATTCAATCTACATATCAAGAGATAACTAAGGTAACTTATTCAGTAATAATTGAGTATCTTGCTAAAATGTAATCGATCGTAATTTACAATTACCATATTACTTTCCACATTACTAATATTATTGCCATATTTCTTTCTTTCCTCTATGGAACACAAAAGGATATTTTTTAAAAGTTTTTGAACCTTTTTGTAGTTTCACATTGACAGTTCTCATTAACTTTATATTATATTTTTTTTATTCAGGAAAGAAACCTCACAGAGATGATTACAATGATACAAATATGAAATATAAAATACAAATATGGAAGATCAATCGATAAACGCATGAATAAAACGATTGAATAAACAAATACATAAATATTAAACACTGAAATCCTGAAAACAGTAGCCAGAATATTTTTCAAAAATTCACTTTTTGTGTTCCACTCAAGAAGATATTTGGCCGAACAATTTATTTATTTAACATATTATCAGTTGCTCAACCCAATGTTTGTTGGCATTAGGACTATAATGTCCGGATGACCACAACAGGGTGCGATTGCTTATATCATAATCTCTACGGTACAATTTTGATTTTGAGAAATATTTCTCCAGAGATGACAGCATGTTTGGCATACTAACTTTTGTTGCTGTTAGAAAAAAATGTTTTGTATGCAGTGTTAGAGAGATGCATCACTTCTGCATGACACAAAGACACAGCATACATAACCATGAGGAGGAGCTCTGTCAGCGTGTGTGTGTGTGTGTGTGTGCACTCATACCTTCCTCAGCACCAGCTCTCCATTCATGTGCATGGAGAGGTTACTAAAGTGCAGCAGCATTTGATCTGTAGCGAGCTGCTGCTCTGTGACATCCTCGCCGTACAGCACGATGATAGCGACACACAGGAACAGGTGGAAGTAGTCCGTCTGTCACAGAACATAGACATCCACACACAGAAAACATATCACTCCATTCCTGCACCAAACATTGAGCCAAAAGAAATGACAGACTGTATAAGCTAGACCAATCGCAAAGGCCAGATGCATATAGAGCCAATTAAAAAGCAGTAAATGCTGATATGCAAATGAGGGGGCAATGAGGAGACAAACCACTTTGCTCCCCAAAATCACCTCGTTATTACCATGCCAATGTATGCAAATGGATTCTGTGGAAACCTGATAATTAGCATCTCATCTTCATTAGACACTCTGCAGATCCTTAAAGTGATACAGGCACCCATTCGTTTATCTAAAGGGGAAGAATTCGCATTTATCCAGCGAAAGTGAATTTAAGGAACAACTTGGTCTTGGTTTCCATGGCTTCAAAGACATCAGTTTGAACTTGGACCCAAAATCTCCTTGAATTTTTATAGTAAGAACCATAAATAAGTCAAAAAGAATAAGGAAGTCAAAAAGAGAAATACATTTCTGCAGTCATATACAGTTAGTTTCCGTTTCTTGTAAAAGGAAAAACCAACACAAAACTACACAACATTTAACATATGAAGGCTTTCCAAGAATATCTGTACTTTTGTATGCAAATTTTAATGTAAGAGTTAATTTGAATGAATCAGTGAGTGAATATAGTATATATACACACACGTACAGTGGAGATCAAAATTAGAGAACAACATACAATTTCCTAAATTTCAAGGTCACTGCTTAGTCCTATTTGAAGTTATCCTAACAGGAGTGGAAGGGCAGTTTCTTAAAGAATGTTTCATAAATTAATTGTTTTCTGAAGCACAGTATAAAAAATACTTAAATGAGATATTTAATCAGTTAATCAGAACCTCCTTCAGCAACATGCAGTTCCTTCCCTGCAAGCATCCCTTTTCCACAGAATAAAGGTTTTTGTTGAAATGCCTTGGTTATTTTGTCAAATATGTTAGTGTTCTGGATCATCTATTTAAGTTTAATGTTTGTAGTGATTATAATTCTGATACCTAGTCTTGTAGCTTCCTTTAAAATATAGTTACCATAGTAACATTCTAAGTCGGTTAAATTCAGTTAGTTGCCTTATTTAAGTAGAACTTCACACTACAGTCTTGTAGCAGCCGTTCATCTTGTGATCATCTGTAGAAAGTATTGTCTGTAAGTTTTTATGATTAATTCGTATTTACTTTGCTGAATTTATTGTTTCTAAAGCTATGAAAGAACTATATCCGAAAAATAACAGTAAATTGAGACATTATTGTATTCTTAGAGATAACTATAGCTACACTATAATTCTCCTTTCTGTAGTTTCACTCTGTTTCAACATACACAGTCAACGTGGTTTGGAATAAAGCGGCATTCTCCCACAAGTCTACGTGTTGGAAAGAGTTTATCTATCTGTCTAACTTCGGGAAGAGAGACACCAAAGTGAGGGCAGAATAGTGTATTATAGGAATAATGTAAGGCATGGTAGGAGTTACATTTGTAAAGCACAGAATAGAATTCATGACAATTATGTGGCATGTCTGTGAAATTTAGTATCAACAGCCAAAATTTCCTTTTACAGTTTTTACAATTAAAGTTTACTGTAACTGGTCTGTACATTAAAATTGATTTAGCATTGTGTGGGTTTATCTATCATAAGACTCTGCCCAGAAATAAAAAATAATAAACCCGGTAAAACTAAATCGGCAGGACGTGTGGCCCACTGTGATGCATTGGGTCTTCAATGAATGCAGCCTTCGAAGGATGCAGCCTCTGAATTGGGACACTTGCTCTCATTATAATGGCATGCATTCAATAAAGGTCTTAGATCAGAAATTTCAACTTTCAAACTGATTACAAATACATCTGACTTTTTTTCCCCAACATTATGCCACATGGTGTGGCATAATGTTGGAAAAAAAAAGTCACATAATAGCATAAATTTTGATTTCACATTGACTTCAAGATCTTCAAGGACTCGTGATAAGAAGATGATCTTCTCATCTATATATCATAATATTTATTGTGAGGATATGAAAGGCATAGATGATCATAAAACAATGTTTTGATGTCAGAGAGCCACTGATAACAGTATCCCACTTCATATTGGCTGACAGTTTGATTCATAGTTGAGAATTGCACAAAAAAGGAACAAATATATGCGAATAAACAGAATAAACACAAATGTACTTCGACTGTGGTAACAAACCACACACATACATTAATACATGCATACATTGTCGATATAAAAAAAAAGCCAAAAAAAAAATTCTGAGATGTCAGCCCGCAAGATGTGACTTAATGATAGATGAAGACTTAGTCTTGATTGTTTGTGATAATTGTACCTGTGAATTATTGATGAAACACAAGTTGATGAAGTTCCTCAACCTCCAAAAGAGGTTGTCAACATTGGTATCATTTATGCACAAGGCAGTGATTCATACCAGATGTTGAGTAAAACACAATGGAGACCTGAAATGCGGCTCAGAGGCTAAGCCTTATGGGTATCGACGTTCCTGAGGTGTGCTCGAGTCAGGAGTGCTTGCGGAAAGTGAAAATGTCTCGTGTCTTGGAGCCCCTCTTGCCCTCGTTGGGCTGGTTGGGGCTGGGTAAGGGTGGGCTCTCGGGAGTGGCGGTGCCTCCATAGGGGCAGCTCTGAGAGTCGGGATGCTCTCCGGAACATTCTATGGCCGGGATGTAACGGCTATCCCACATTCCTGGCCCGCACAGTTTACACAGGTCGTGTAAGCTGCAGGGAATTCTGGGAAGAAGGCGGAACTGGTAGAGCAGGCTACGTGCCTAGGATTAGAGACAATAAGGGAGACAAGACAGAGAAAGAAAGATGGACTGAGAATTGAAAAAAATAACAGGCAAAAATGCTGAAAAAAATATTATATTGTAATTCATATTTAGCTTTTTCAATATTTAACAAAAGCATTCTCGTAGCTAAAACAGTAGAGAATAGCAATGGGTCATGGGTTTGATTTTCAGGAAATGCATGAACTCACAAAATATGTATACCTTGATGCAATGCGAGTTGCTTTGTATAAAAGTGTCTGCTAAATGGATGAATGGTAAATGTAAATAAATAAATGGTGTAACATAACTAAATAATAAAAAGGGCAAATTAAATAAAAAAATTGCTAAATAGATAAATAGTGCAAAATAAATAAAACAAAAATAATAAAATTTTTAAAAAGTGCAATAAATTAAATAAAAATAAATCATGTAAATACAATGAATCAAAATAAATTATAAAGTGAAAAATAAATAAATTAATTATAAAACAGTGCAAAATACAGCAATAAATAGATAAAATATTCAATCTACATATCAAGAGATAACTAAGGTAACTTATTCAGTAATAATTGAGTATCTTGCTAAAATGTAATCGATCGTAATTTACAATTACCATATTACTTTCCACATTACTAATATTATTGCCATATTTCTTTCTTTCCTCTATGGAACACAAAAGGATATTTTTTAAAAGTTTTTGAACCTTTTTGTAGTTTCACATTGACAGTTCTCATTAACTTTATATTATATTTTTTTTATTCAGGAAAGAAACCTCACAGAGATGATTACAATGATACAAATATGAAATATAAAATACAAATATGGAAGATCAATCGATAAACGCATGAATAAAACGATTGAATAAACAAATACATAAATATTAAACACTGAAATCCTGAAAACAGTAGCCAGAATATTTTTCAAAAATTCACTTTTTGTGTTCCACTCAAGAAGATATTTGGCCGAACAATTTATTTATTTAACATATTATCAGTTGCTCAACCCAATGTTTGTTGGCATTAGGACTATAATGTCCGGATGACCACAACAGGGTGCGATTGCTTATATCATAATCTCTACGGTACAATTTTGATTTTGAGAAATATTTCTCCAGAGATGACAGCATGTTTGGCATACTAACTTTTGTTGCTGTTAGAAAAAAATGTTTTGTATGCAGTGTTAGAGAGATGCATCACTTCTGCATGACACAAAGACACAGCATACATAACCATGAGGAGGAGCTCTGTCAGCGTGTGTGTGTGTGTGTGTGTGCACTCATACCTTCCTCAGCACCAGCTCTCCATTCATGTGCATGGAGAGGTTACTAAAGTGCAGCAGCATTTGATCTGTAGCGAGCTGCTGCTCTGTGACATCCTCGCCGTACAGCACGATGATAGCGACACACAGGAACAGGTGGAAGTAGTCCGTCTGTCACAGAACATAGACATCCACACACAGAAAACATATCACTCCATTCCTGCACCAAACATTGAGCCAAAAGAAATGACAGACTGTATAAGCTAGACCAATCGCAAAGGCCAGATGCATATAGAGCCAATTAAAAAGCAGTAAATGTTGATATGCAAATGAGGGGGCAATGAGGAGACAAACCACTTTGCTCCCCAAAATCACCTCGTTATTACCATGCCAATGTATGCAAATGGATTCTGTGGAAACCTGATAATTAGCATCTCATCTTCATTAGACACTCTGCAGATCCTTAAAGTGATACAGGCACCCATTCGTTTATCTAAAGGGGAAGAATTCGCATTTATCCAGCGAAAGTGAATTTAAGGAACAACTTGGTCTTGGTTTCCATGGCTTCAAAGACATCAGTTTGAACTTGGACCCAAAATCTCCTTGAATTTTTATAGTAAGAACCATAAATAAGTCAAAAAGAATAAGGAAGTCAAAAAGAGAAATACATTTCTGCAGTCATATACAGTTAGTTTCCGTTTCTTGTAAAAGGAAAAACCAACACAAAACTACACAACATTTAACATATGAAGGCTTTCCAAGAATATCTGTACTTTTGTATGCAAATTTTAATGTAAGAGTTAATTTGAATGAATCAGTGAGTGAATATAGTATATATACACACACGTACAGTGGAGATCAAAATTAGAGAACAACATACAATTTCCTAAATTTCAAGGTCACTGCTTAGTCCTATTTGAAGTTATCCTAACAGGAGTGGAAGGGCAGTTTCTTAAAGAATGTTTCATAAATTAATTGTTTTCTGAAGCACAGTATAAAAAATACTTAAATGAGATATTT